GTTTAGTAACCGAAGGTCACAGTAGAGGCAGTTAACAACCTCTTTAGTCATCACTGTTTTGCATACAAAACGCCAATGTACAAGGCCAAGATAGAGGATGTTGGCCTCAATTCTTTAGCACTGTAGAAGCTATAGAAAAGTTTATATTTTATGAATCATCACGGCGCTTTGATGCAGTATCAGTTACAGTACATGGGTGAAGCAGTACAAGCAAGTAGGCAGCCGGCTAACAGCAGTTGACCATGACCAATAGCTTGAGGGTTTTTGGGTGTGGTACTGGACCAGTCCAAAACTTGCCTCCAAGCATCCAATAGGAGCACCACACTACTTGTGGGTGATGCTGTGTCCTATTTGGATGCTCGCCAGGATACAGAGAAATTCTGCTATATAAACCCATGTCTGGAGCTGAAAAATCAGATCTCCGGCGAGTTCTGAAATTGCCAGTCTCCAGCCAGCTCTACAAAGGCAGAACTATGCAGTTGAACAACTTAGACTCAGCAAAGAAGGTTCCAACTCTACAGTAAGTATCTCTCTCTCTAGATCAGCTTTAGTATTATATGTTATTCAATGTAAAAGAAATATTGTTAATGTTTTAATAAGTAACAAGTTAAAGAGTGAATATATGACTATTATGACAAGTGTAATAAAGAGTAATAAAAATATTATAAGTAGTATTGCTGGTCTGAGACTCGTATTTTTTACTCTAACTGTAAACTAATAAACTCGTCCCCACAAATCCTCCAACAAATAAATAAGGTGTACAGGTTGGTTTTAATTGAAACAATTAAGCTCACCGGAGTGCTAACCAGTTACAATTATTACCATAATTATCATCATCATTATCATTACTATTATGATCATTATCACTATTATTATCATCACTATTGTTATCATTATTATTATCATCGTAATTATTACTATTATTATCATCATCATTATTATCATCATCATCATTATTACTATTATTATTATTACCATCATCATTACCATAATTATCATCATTATTACTATTATTATTATCATCATCATCATTACCATAATTATCATCATTATTACTATTATTATTATCATCATCATCATTACCATCATTATTATCATTATTACCATAATTATCATCATTATTACTATTATTATTATCATCATCATCATTACCATCATTATCATCATCATTACCATAATTATCATCATTATTACTATTATTATTATTATCATCATCATTACCATAATTATTATCTTTATTATTATTATCATCATCATTACCATAATTATCATCATTATTACTATTATTATTATTATCATCATCATTACCATAATTATCATCATTATTACTATTATTATTATTATCATCATCATTACCATAATTATTATCTTTATTATTATTATCATCATCATTATTACTATTATTATCATCATTATTACATTATTATTATCATCATCATTATTATTATCATCATCACTATTATTATCATCATCATTATTACTATTATTATTATCATTATCACTATTATCATCATCATCATTACCATAATTATCATCATTATTACTATTATTATTATCATCATCATTACCATAATTATCATCATTATTACTATTATTATTATCATCATCATTACCATAATTATTATCTTTATTATTATTATCATCATCATTACCATAATTATCATCATTATTACTATTATTATCATTATCATTATTATTATCATCATCATTATTACTATTATTATCATCATCATTATTACTATTATTATCATCATTATTATTATCATTATCATTACCATCATTATTACTATTATTATTATCATCATCATTATTACCATAATTATCATCATCATTATTACTATTATTATCATCATCATTATTACTATTATTATAATTATTATTATTATTATCATCATCATTATTACTATTATTATCATCATCATTATTACTATTATTATCATTTTTATTATACCCAAATATTATCTGAGCCTAGGACCTCACTAAACCTTAAACCGCCAGTGGGGAGCATACCTCGTTTTCCACCATCATTAGTGATACAGGTTTGTTTGTTTGTAATTAAGCACAAAGCTACACAATCAGCTATCTGTGCTCTGCCCACCATGGGTATAGAAATCCGGTTTCTAGCGTTGTAAGTCCGCAGACATATCGCTGTGCCACTGGGAGGAAGTGATACAAGAGTTTAACCATTTTTCTATGAAAGTATACACATTGTTTGTTTCTGCTTTGTCTGTTAATAAATATAATTTTTACCTTTCTTCAAATGTATCTAGTCTATTCATTTTTCACATACCCTCAGTCGAGTTTTCAAGCCCCGATTATTCTAAACGTTTCATGTTCGATTCTCTTATCATTAAGTGGGTCTATCTAATACTTTCCAGGAAATCACTCCATCTGAAAAGTGTTTGTTGTTTTTTTTATAGCAAAGCCACATGGGGCTAGATGCTGTGTCAATCGAGGGAATCACCTAAAAATACTTTCAATATAGTAAAGATATTTTGTTATTCATTATTTGTTACCAGTGTAATCTTTCATATCTAATCTTCCTGATTAAATCTGCAATCCTTTGTTATTTGCAGATTCGAATTTCCTTACTTCCAATATTCTAAAATTATTCTATAAAAACTATGCTGTTGGAATAGTGCTAAAACGAGCTCTTAAAATAATTTAAATGGTTGTATCAACTTGTAGGAGCACAGAATTTTTAACTACCAATTTCAATCTAAAACAGTCGAAAAATGTTAATACTTGTGAATTAAGGTATAGAACAAAATCATATGACATGCATGTTATATGTAAACCTCATGGATTCTGATTTCCCAAGAAACCGAGTCACATAAAACCAAAAAAGTTACAAATCCAAATAAAGTCGAGAAGTGAGTTCATATTTTTCAGGTCTATTGCATGAAGTAACAGAGTATGTGACCATCTCCAAGACATTTTAAAGTCTTCCCCCACTACTAAAGTGAATGCTCTTTACTTAGCATATTTATCAGCCTATTCTTCTTCCTGGCATAATGTTACTTTCTATCTCATATATCTTTGATTATAATGCAAAGAAGTTAAATCGTGCACGCACAACGATTACTGTGTGATCATATGATCATCAGCTTTACTGCCATCTTGCAAAATATGTACAGGTTACTGATTCTTAAAACTCTCATTTAATTTTAACTCTGTGTGCCGAACTTCTGTTTTACTTAGAAGCATTTCATGTTATAAGTTGTTGTTTTTGTTTTGTTTTTTACATCCTACAATGTTGATTTTTACTTCATGTGTCACATATTCTACGTGTATTTGTAAATATATGTTGGACAATTAGTTCCCACTTTGGGTACAGGAAAACCTATTTACTCTTAATTTACATTTATATGTTTACAACAAGGTTCACTGCATGCCCTCAAGCAAAGTATGAAACATTCTTTACTACAGTTGAACAGAGTTGTTTCAGCATTTGTTTAACAACAAGTAAAACCTTGGAATGGTCTATTCTTTCATTGGGGTTGTGTGGGCAAGACTAGTTTCGGAGAATTCCACTCCTCATTAGTGACCCTGGATACGACTACCGAATGAAACTTCAGACCAAATTAAGCCTATGTAGTAATGAGGTATCTAAAATCGTACATTTGACAGTACAAATACACCATGATAGCTAATGTTGCACTGCTATAATTCTTGTCACGTATCTATGGTGTATGACTCTCAACTGTAACTTGTATTGCATTATTTGTTTCTAGATCTTGCACGTGACTCATGATTTTTAATAAAACGGTAGCCATAGTGATTGCGTGAATTGCATGACAATTAGCTATGTGATCGGAGCAGACGTATAAAATACGTTGAATGTATCAAAGAGTGAGAGACTTAACAACTAGGTAGGCTCGTGACTACGTTAAACTCGACAGTTCTTTTCATTCAGCATGGCATTTTGTACACTGGAGGATAAAGAAAAATATCGTGATCACTTTGTCGCTGGTAAGTTCGGTTCTGGCTTGCCACTATGACTTCAATTTCTAAGTTTTAGCTTTCAGCTTTAAAGTATGTCATGTCAACAAACCTTTTTATTCGTTCCTTTCTACTATACCTTAACAAAACGTTTTATGTTATATGTTCTTATGCATTCTTGGTTGTACTAGATATGTAGGTTGTCACATCGTCGTATAACCATTTTGAACGGAGTAACACTCGCTTATTAATTGTTAGGCTTTCATAGCGTTGTATTTTTAGTGGATTGTGGAACTTGTTTTATGCTTTAACGTAAAAACGTAACTGTAAATAATAAATGTGACAAATACTTCTTGTTGTATTGTTATTCGTGTTATTTTCACAAGGAATAACGAAACCCTGCAATTTTACAGATAACTTTAGTGACTGGACGACCTGACGCTATACGCTGTATAGTTAGGTGTTTGGCATGAACCTATACAAACGCCATTCTACTTTTTGTTCTTGTTATTTGAAAGTAAGAATGCAGCAATTAGATCTGCTTAGCCATGCTCACAGTATGGTCTATTTCTAAGCAGTTCCACATGTACTTAACTTTTATACCAATGAATGTATGAACGCACAACTACCTACAGAATTTATCTTTATTAGTTCAGTACTTCGCTATTATGGCTTCGTTACGAGCTATCGATGATATATAAATTCGCTAATCCAAATTGTAATTCTAAAAAATCGAACTTCTGCATTTAGAGATTTCAAGGATAATCTTAATACTTTAACAACGCACAACTTTTCTTTGGTGTAAATCATGTAAGTCTGAACATAAGCTGTTTAGATTTTTTTCCAAGAGTTACAATGTGGTAAATTTCATGTTATGTTTCTGCATTTACTTTTAGTTTTTAAAATGACCTTTTAGTTATATAACATGTCTAGAAAAGCCAATTATTAGCCCTTTTCGTAAAGATTCTTACAAACACCACGTTAATCCCGTTTAGCTCTAACTGTATGGGGGAATATTTGCAGGACTCTCCACAGTTATTTTTTCTTTTAGACATATGAATTCAACTACTGTTGTTACATTTTTGTGTGTATCAGAAAGAAACTACACAGAACTTTTTCTTTCGTAGACATATGGATTAAAAATAACGATTTTTTTTCAGATTTTGTTAAGCAGTGTTTGAAAGTACTTGCATACAACAGAAAGGTAAAATGGGTAGGTAGATCTTTCAAACACATTGGTATTATAATTTTATATGTAAAACTTAAAAGATTTAACACATTTGTTTTAGAATTTGCGCTCAAAATTCAACAAGAGCTATCTACCTATAGACGTTCCTAATTTTGAACAGATAGACCAGAAGTAAGGTAACTAGTCGATAAATATCCACCACCAACTCTTGGGCTAATACAGTCCGACGGAATAGTAGGATTTGACCGTCACTCTTATAGCGCACCCACAGCTCCAAAGTACAAAGCGAATTTATGCGTCGATGAGACAGACGCGAATCAAAAACCTTTGAATTCACAATTTGAGCACTCTGTTGGGCCACTCCCATGGGAGAGATGGAGGATATGTCAACAGGGATGCCCACCATCAATATGAACTATTTTTCCAGCAGGCGAGATGATGAGCTTAGGTGGATGCCATGAAGATGACCAGTGGAATATTGGGAAACGTTTTCAAGATAAGAGGCAGCCCGTTATCGAGCTGATTGTTGGAGTGTAGTACTATCGGCTGGTGAAAGCCATCAAAATGTGACATTTGACCAACAAATTAAAAAGCAATCCCAAACAGGTATGGAGGGATGAGGGGAGAAGTGCTCCAGAGTAGGAAGCCAGCTGGCTACTGAGCCCAGAACCATAAACAACAGGTTATCGGTTGTGGACAGACACCAAAAGGAACTGGTTTTATTTTTTTGGCAGACAGACAATGCAGTGGACATTTGCAAATGTGGTAAAGTCATATCACTACATAAATAAACGAATAAAGGATCCAATGCAAACTAAACAAGTAAGATTTCAATTTGTAGGCTCAGAAAAACTATATTATCGACTATTTTACATTTCAAAAAGATATTTTGAAATAGTGTTACACTAACATTTGATGCATTATCTTTCACTTCACTTACACTTTATAGAAATATCATCAAATATATATTAATCATCAATTACAAATCAGTGTTCTGTGATTTTCTTACATAAAATTCTCGTTTCATTATAGCCCTCAGGTGGCATCCTTTGATCTCCTCTCATATGGTGGCCCTCAGGGAAGTGCTACAATAACTACTCACTTATTAGTGTATCTGAATTTGTGCATTTGGTTCCTTCATGGAGTTTATGTTGTGTTCCCTTTCTTTTTTTCTGTTATTGAATCTGTTTTTATATTTGGCTAAGGTTCTAGTGACAATGTGTTTAAGGAAGTGATATTTGTATCAAGCTAGTGAAGAAAAGTGCTATTGTTGAATGAAGCTGTTGTGTAAACAAATGTTCAGTGTGAGAAAGTGTCAGATGGGGAAATGGAAATGATAAAGTTAAAGGAAAGGGAACTCTTCATTCATTCCAAAGGAATTAATAGTGCCTAATTTAATAATCAAACATTTTTCCAGGTGATTTCTTTGCGTTACAGACTAGGGAGCAAATATGAGTTATTAATATTATAGAGTTATTAAAGTGTCTACCTGTGAGTTTTGTAGTATCATTATTTCTTATATTAGAGAAATGTTCACGTAAACGATCTCCTAAGCGGTGACCTGTTTCACCAATGTATAGCATGTCACATTTTTTACTGATCATGTAGTATATCAAGCTTGTTAAAATACACATGAATGGCTGTTGTATTTGGCATTTTCCATGGATGTTGTGGTGTTAACATATTTTACATATATTAATGCATTTTGGTATACTTTTGGATTACACTTTAGACTAAAATGTTTTTGATATTTCTATCATGTCTGTAACTGACGGGTGGACGTTCTTTAAATAGTATGGAACTTATGAGGTTGTCAGTGAGGATATTGAAGTTTTGTTTGATAATCTGGACAACTTTAAAGGTAAGTAAAGATTAGTGGTATTTGAGAGTTTGTAAACTTTGGGGAAGAGCTACTGATAAAGAAATATTTCATATCTTCAACTTGTTCACTGCAGTGTCTACAAAACCTTAAGAATTGAGATTACGGAAGTGACTGAAATGTATGACGTGGATGGAAAGAATCGTAATGGGTGTAAGAATTGGAATCAGTTGATTTGTAAAGTGCCGATATATATAAATGACAGTCTTCAGTTGAAATGAGAATTTCCAAAAAGTGTAAGCTCTGTGAGGAAACTGTCCATGTGAAGGTATAAACGGGATGGAAGAAGGACACAAACTGTAAATATATATTTAAGTTGCACAAGGATGTGCTGGCCGCACCAACTATATCATCATTATAACCTCTGTAAAGAGTAGGAAGTGTTCTTTGGTAAGTTGAGAAAATCTGATTCTCTAGATATCCAAACAATAAAGCATAAGCCCATTTTCATGCCCTAACAACACCTTGAATGTAGTGATAAAACTTGCCATTAAAGGTATATATGTTTGACAAGGCATAAGAAGATATGCGAGGTTGATGTAATGAAGATCACAGATATAGATAATGTTTGAGGGCTTCTTTCATACTATAGTTATGAGGAATCGATGTGTAGAGTGTTTTTATGTCCATGATGAATGATAAATATATTAATTTAGGATGTTCGAGAGGTTATACAAATGAAACATAAAACTATAAGATGAAGTATTTTTATCATTAGCATGACTCGTCCTCCCAATGACTCAGCTAGTATATTGTGTAGCTTTTTGCTTAGCAACAAACAAAGAAAAGCATGAAAATTACCGTTGACTCAGTAAAAGATTCGTAAATTCACAGATAGATATTTACTAAAAGCTTGCCAAATTTCTTGAAAATAAACTTAGTGCATTCAGAGTTATGGTATGCATAGTTTCGAGGTTACATAATGGTTATGAGGTCGGTCCCGACCCTATATGCATGAACTAACCGATGTACTTGAAATAACTCGCTGACACTTCTGGTTAACTGACTGCTTAGCGAACGTACTATACAACTGACAGGGTAGTTGTAATTGTTAGTAATTTCCAGTAATTTCAATTCAGTGATTGTTGAACACTTAAACAAAAGGGAGTCTTCAATATCCGCGTCACTTAAAATTCTTTTAGGCAGGATTAGAGTAAATTAATCTATGAGAGATTGGGCGTGGTCAAATACATCAAACGAAAGGGTTTTGACCTCTTGAGTCCAAAACTGTTATTAGATCTCGGATCGGTAAAGAGATGACAGAGATATGATTTAAACGTTTGCACTTGAAAAAAAAACAACACTCAGAATCGTTCTATGAGCCGCTATGCCGCGGTTAAAAATCCATCCCAACATGTTAATTTGCATTGATGAGGTGAAAGTGGATGTTTTTGGTTTTGGTGACACTAATGGACAGTCAAAAAGTATTCAGACTAAATGAAGGGAAAGTGCTCTATGACACAATTATATAAAACATGAACATATTATATCAAATGGTTACTTTACTTACAATAATATCCACCAATACTTTTTCACTACATATTTCCAGTTTTCCTGCAAACGTTTCAACAATTATTGTCTTAAGTTAACCTTTATGCCCGGAAAACCTGAGAATGTAGGCGACGTTTATTTTCTAATCACTAAGAGATATTTTCTGTGGAGATCTACAAATAAAAAAAAATACATGGACTTATTAAGAACAACAGAGAGCATTTTATGAATAATGTTTGCTTTATCTAAACGTGTAAAACGATATGTATATAGCTTATAATCTTGATAATCTGTTGTATAATTTACAATACTTATGAGAAATTATTCATGTTAAAAAAAAGAAAATGAAGTTCCATATTTAAAATTTAGCCCGATTTATATTGTTTTAGTCGTTTTTATTCATATTTTGTACAGTAATAATTTGAGAAAAAACAATATTAAATTCGGCTTTATTCCATCTAGGAATATACGTATGCTCTAACTGTGGGTACGAGCTTTTCTCCAGTAGAAAGAAGTTTGCTCACAGCTCTGCATGGCCAGCATTTTCCGAAACTATCCACAAAGACAGTGTTTCTAAGAAAATTGACTGGGCTCCTGATAAACTCATCAGAAGAGCATTAAAAGTATTTATTTCTCTATACTGTTCTTATGTCCTATTACTTTGATTTGAAATAACACATGAATCATGAGTGACAAGTTACTACTAGGTTTGAATTAACAAGAGAGTAAAACAAGTCGAGTTTCAAAATCTACAGATTTGATAAATATTCATCTGTTTAATGACATTAGGCATCACTGATGCACACTTTAAATTATAAACTATTATTAAGTTCCATTACTACGTTACTTCTCTGATTTATAAAGAATAAACTTTTTCTGTTGTTTTAATTCAAGTTACAAGACTCTTGGTATTAAAAAACTATAAGACACTTAACTAAAATGAAGTTTCTCTGGAAAAAACATATAATAAGAGAAGTAAATGAATACTTGATTACTTTTTGAATAGTAACATAGTTTTAAAGTGATATATATATATATAGATAGATATATATACATATCTACATATACCTACTTTCAACAACATGGCCAAAAACAAATAGTGTCGTACATAAGCACATAACAGACAGACAAGTAAAACTGTTACAGACTACATATAATGGGGAAACGTAAAATGTACCTTAGTAACAGAGGTTTCTGCAGAAGAGGACCCATACACCAGAAGGGAAACACCGTCTATCAGATTTAATGTCTGCTAGCAAGCCTCACGTATAGAATAAATATCAGCTGTAATGTATATTAGCAAGCCTCATGTATATAATAAATAAAAAATATCAGCTGTAATGTATATTAGCAAGCCTCATGTATATAATAAATAAAAAATATCAGCTGTAATGTATATTAGCAAGATTTTTGTGTTAAACCCACTTCTAAATTATCAATAACCATCTGTGGAAAAACAACTGCTTCTAATGAAACAAAAATTATAAACATAAAACTAAAACTGCTCCCCGGTGGCTTAACAAACAAAACCAAGTTCCTCCAGATAAGCGTGCAGTTTGACAGTATAATGATCAAAGTGGATAGGTGGATGAGTTTTATTGTTACTGTTTGGAATTTGTAGATAAAAATTCGTGTTTCGTTTTTCTAATAGTAGCGATTTTATTAACTTAGTAATCTGAAGTTTCATTACACTGTACATAGACGTATGCGAGCATTATGAGAGCTGCAATGTCAACTTCAGAAGCTTTACTTAATACTCCCAGAGATTCAGTTGTAGTAAACTGTTTTACTTTTATTGTTTCTTTAGGAATAACTACCTTCCCATGAATGTCTGCATATTCTAAATGGTAGTTTCGACGTGGTATATTGTGGACTTTAACACATACTTACTTCTAATTTTACTATTATTGTTATTTATTGTTTACACATTGGACTTATGAATAGAGGTTATATATAACGGACTGTATATCGCTATGATTGTGTGTGTGTACAACTTCTGCAGACACCTATCTTGCTAATGTACAATAAATTGCACAAATTGTATTTTGTTTCATTTGTTTGTATTTTATGTGTAATGCATTTTGTTTCTGGTCTTGTTATCTGACAGTTTTTAAAATATCATCAAAGATAAAAAGGTGCTCTTACAAGTTCTTTTTCCTTGAGATGCTGAAATAAACACAGATGTTGTGTAATCTTCATATATATACTTTTGTAACTCTGTTGCCCTAAATATTTAAGCTCACTGACATCAGAAGATTATCGGGTATTCGTGCCCATTGAATTTTAATAACTTCAGTAGCATGTAATATCTGGCACGTTAAAAGTTGTTTTATTGTCTTGGTTTCAGATTTCGTGTGGCAAGTGCGGAAATGGTCTTGGACATGAGTTCCTTAAAGGTGGACCAGGTGGCGTTTCTAGGTTTTGAATATATTCAGAGTCTCTCCAATTTGTGCCAAAAAGTAGGTATAACTGGAATGTCATTATACCCACTTTCTCCATCACTCTAATTGGCTCGTGATAAGATACATTAGTTTACAATTATTCTTATACATTGACTTTTAATGTATTTTCTTCCATAACCTTAAAGGTGCATCATTTGAGAGTAGAACTGCTTTAAAGTGTAGACATGCTGTTAATGTGCATCTCATTAACATCATACAATACCGATAAGAAAAATTCCAAAAAATGCATTAAAGGTAGCGCCAAATCAACTAAAAATTAAAACACAAGCTCAATGTAAAAAATGTATATATTCCCGTTCGTAGCAAAGTAGCTACTAGAATAAAAAACACAAGTAGAAAGCTTCGTTCGCTACATTTGTTTTACTGATTAATATTTATGTTAAAGTTCACAACTTTAGTACGTTTATCATGCTGAAGGTGAAAACACAGTTAAGGTTTCTAAAGTTTGTCATTTTAAATTCGAATCAGCGTAATTCAAAAAAATATTTTCTCGTCGCATTGAAAGTCTGCTTCAGTTTGTAGTTATGTGGTTCAGCATTATTCTTAAATTGTAAAATTTTGCACTAAAATTTTGATGAAACAATTGCATAAAAGTTGAAAAATTATTTATTTTCGCCACTATACTTCAAGGTTTCGGAGCACGTATAATATTGCTACTATTGAACAAATAGTGCAGTGTGTAAAATTTACCTGTGATTTCTCAAAAACATTTTTTTTGTGAGAAAATACAAGAAATGTCGTGTTTTCAACACCTGTATCGTTGTGGAGAATCCTACGTTTTTTTTGGAAGAATTTCGATACATTGCTCTTAGTTTTCGTTCCAAAATCTTTAATAAGAAGTGATATTTCAAGAAATCGGACTAGCCAAGAAAAAGATGGAAAGAAAGCAGAAATCAGATCTTTTAACATAATTTATTTCAATACACTGTTGAATTAAACAAAATAAACATATTTTTAAAAACTTAATTTTTTTAGGCACTGATGGAACTGAGGGACTCGCAGAGAAGTCCGATAAGGAAGATAAAACACAAAGTCCATCATAGTCTTCAAGATATGTCTAATTTTTCGTTCATATAAGCCCTTATATCCTTCATATATTGTGCTTTTCTAAATATATTAGACTTGAACTTCAAGATCTAACACTTTTAAGTAAAAAAGTAAAAAAAAAGTATATTTTGATAATTTATATGGCTTGTAACTTATTCGTAAAAACGCATGATAGCAAAATACAGACTTCAATAACTACAACTTTATTCAACTTATAAAAACAGTAGAAAAATTTATCTAATTATTGATTTTTTTCTAACAATTTCTGACGTTGGTTGATGTACTTGATAATGTAATATTCACAGTCTAGTTTTATTATTGTAAGGCTTAATAAGGATAAAGATTTTTGTAAACATAACTTTATTCATGATTAAATTATCACCAGAAAAGTAGTTTATTCAAATAACTTCGAAAAATACTCAAGATATATCACTAAGCTATGTTTTAGACCATGCTCCGGATACACCAGTTACTAGCACCAAACCAGGTTAGAGACCGTGTTCTAGATATACCAAGTGAAAGCACTAGGCCAGGTTACAAACCATGCTCCAGATATGCCAGTTAACAGCACAAATTCAGGTTTCAAACCACAACTCAAAGTTATGAATTTTAATACAGTTGTACGTAACAAGTGAGCCTTATTTCAATTACTGAACCTTTAAATCAGTTTTAGTAATTTCTAAACATCTTCGTTTGATTATACGAAACTAGTACGTCGTACAGCACGATTTGGAAAGCTGCGGAAAGGTGGTATAATCACAATAGTTGTACATAAACTGAAAGCTTCTGTACTAATTAATCCACCAAATTATATAAAATAGTTATTTAACACAGGTAAATAAGATACCACCTCAGTGTCAAAAACATATTAGATGAAAGATTAAATTCAAGAAAATGTGTGACAAACCCGTCAAAAACAAAATAACATTTTGTACTTTAAAATTTGTGTCAGTGATAATTAATTTGAATAACACTTGAAATTCTGGTATTAACAAATATCTGCTTGCAATGTATTTATCATGGAGTTTATCAATACAAATTATATAAAAATATGAGACTCAAGAATTGTTACCCATGTAACCCCTGCAAAGCGCTACTAGAGATATAATATTTCTTATACATTTGAAATCTACCACGGGAGCACCATAAAAAATATAGTAGTTATAATTATTATTTTACTGTTTCTATTATTTAATCGAATATTAAATTGTAAACATTTAGTGTGAATTCTTTTCGTATTCCAAGCATTAAGTACATATCTTATTTGCAAGAGCTTACATGATGTCATTCAGAGAAAACTACAGAGTTCTGAGTGATGGAAGTTAGAGCTATTTATATATAAGATGGGGTACATTGCTTTAAAAATTCGAAATCATGAAAAATAACCATATTTTGATTTACTTTGTTTTTGTATATGTTTCAACTGTTAAATAAATTTCTTTTAATTTTGAAGATTAACGTATCTATTTCATTGTTTTACTGTACAAAAGAACAATATTCAACACTGATTGCCGACTTTGTCAGATTCCTACAAATATTTGCATTGTACTTGACTTATATGTCTTTGCAAACCAAACTGATCATTTGAGTCGTTAGATAATTGCTTGAGTCTTATGATTGTACGAATATGATATAGCCGTTTAATCCGCGAGACAAGGAATCTCTCAACAGCATTAAAGATGTTTGCCCTGTTTCTTTTTTTTTTTTTCATGTTCAAAAACATCGATTATCAGAATCTATCAAATCTGCCACAAGGAAAAGTATTGTCACTCCACTGGTGTCAGACTGAGGAAAAAGACGCCAGGCTGTGTTTTGACTCGTTCATTCAGTATATCATCTGGTAGCAAACAAACAGTTAAAAAAACGCGTATCTGATATATAAACAGGCAAACACGGCTTCATTGCTGCTTAAAGCCATTGAATGGCTGGTTGTGGTTCATAAGTTGCATTTAACCCTTTTCTTGCTGAAGTTAAAGTGAAAATATAGAGAATACGACGTTGCTTATGTTTTTTAATAATGAAAGGTGTTGCAGGTAACATGTTGCTGTAGACACCTATTGGTATCAGGTGTTTGGTCTTTTGATTCCTTCAAAAGAAGAGTAACATCTAGAGTGTTCCTTAATATTTTTCCTAACCACATCCACCCATAATGGAAATCCAACACATTCGTATGTTGTCATAAATTAGTTCAAATGCCTTACCGAGCAGTTATACAATGTTGACCTGTAAAGGAATTAAAGCGTCAAAAACGTTTTTGTTGCACTAGGGGTAGTACAAAGTATAAAGTAAAGGAACAATTGGTCAACAAGCCGACGGAATCACGCGTTTGTATATGATTATTTAACATTTAGTTTGTAAGAATAAATGCTCCCTGTATGTAGATCACGTAACCTAGTTAGATGTTTATAAAATATTGTTGCTTAAGTGTAAATTACATAAAATGCAATGCAAAAACATTATACATTTCTATGGCCACATACATACCTACAAAGGGACCAGACCAAAGAGCTATCTATAATATGGTAATATAAATATGCCTTGGTGATACCCAAGCAACATTTAAGGCTCGTCTACGTCACTAATACCATGCCGTATAGTGAATGATTTTTAAGATGAAAGCTTGTTTAACTAACACTTAGATGGACCCCTAAAAGGGTCAGTAATAAACGTATATGTCGTTCTAGGCAGAGAATAAGGCTGTGCACTACTTACACTGGAGGCCCTGAGTAGTTGACGCCCTGAGTCTGGATCCTAATAAAATGTCCAGTCTGTGTGTGTCTGCTCAAAAGAACATGAAAAGATGGGAACTGAAACTTTATTACATTAATATGTGATAACAAAACTTGATAGAACTGTAATATCTTACAATAACTATAATTACAAAACTTTGTAAAACATTTTTCTCCAAACTTTTTCGCGTTCCATGGGTGCGAAGTTTTGTTCAGCATTCTAGTTGTGCTAGAAGAGTGACAGTCAAGTCCCTATATTCAGTCAGACAAGAGAATTTCATGAGGTGACAGTAGCTGTTGTTGATTAGCTGACTTCCCTCTTGTCTGTTGGTTCAAAATTAGGGACAGCTATGTACACATATCTCTTTGTGTAGATTTGCGCAAAAATTCTAAAACAAACGAACCCACAAAGTTTTAACCACAGACATGAGGTGATATTCTGTACACTAGAAGGAATAAACTGGGTTTTCAGACTGTTCAACACCCATTAAAGGTTTGATTTTCTGGAAGAGATAACCCACAAAGTTTTATCCACAAACATGAGGTGATATTCTGTACACTTGAAGGAATAAGCTGGGTTTTCAGACTGTTCAACACCCGTTAAAGGAAGGGTCTGGTTTGATTTTCTGGAAGAGATAACCCCTAAACATTTTAAGGTATTTTGTAAACGCAAATTGTAGTAGAAGTTTTTTTCTATGAGCCTTTGAATCATTCAGTTACCAGAAAAGACGCAAAATCACGACTGAATTACATCATGTCATTAAGAGTAGTTTCATTCAGTAAGTTGTGTAACACACACACAAGAATATGCAAACCCTGTAAATTACATAAACTTTATTAAACCTTGTAAGCGATTACAAACTAGAAGAGTACTTAAATATCAAGTTTTGTGATCAAACGTCCAAATACCACAAGAAATTAAGCAAGGACAAAGTACTGTTACATGTTACTTCTGGCGAGAATTTTATATTGATTCTATATAAATTAATGCATCAAATGGCTTTTGAGTCTTTATGAAAAGGATGAGGGCATTCTAATTGCTCCTAAAACATTTATAGTTCACTTTAGTTATATGAATATGTAAAATAGGTGTTTGTATGAGTACAATAAATGTAAAGATGTAGTCATATCGAGGTTTGTGTACAAGATAATGGTAGGAGTAAGAATCACTTCGACTTTCAAAGGTGCACAGTAGTTGGTGCCTATTTAGCAAGGATCTCGTTACCCAGATCTGTTTAGACTCTAAGGTGAATTTTTAACCTGAACAAAGGCATTAATGGACCTTATCCAATAAAGTAGTTACAAGAGAAGATAAAAAAATCAACTTTAGGTTAATTGCAAATTAAAAAAAAACTCAAGTCCTGCGATCTTATTAAATATTATTGACTAAAATAAATAACTGTATTTTAAATTAAAACTGATATTAAAAGCTGTTCTCCAAACTGCCTCAGTGAAAAGACCATACTAATTATTTTAAAGAAAGTAAACTATCAATACCTGGTTGTCTATTAGCAAAAGTCCTAGTTATGTTGATGAGTGTAATGCAGCGCATTACGTTGGTTGTATGTATTATTTACTCTCTGAAATTGTTCGATTCACAATTCAAGATAGAATAACTTAAATTTTATCTCAATAAATTTAAAACAAAAATGAGCTATTACAAGTTAAAGCTTAACTTATAGATTACACAATCACTTTTATTTACAAATATAATTATAATAATGAATTTGTTGCAATACTTGCTTATCATTTTACCAACGTTAGTGAAATGAATTTGTAAAATACTTTATACTCTGCAGAGCTGTAAAATATACAAACACAAATGTAAATTGCATGAAATTCATAACCAATTAAAAAATCAAAATGTCCATATCTTTTTTGGTTCAAGAAGCCTCCGAGTGACTTAGGGGTAAGTCTGAAGGCTTATAACACTAAAAATCAAGTTTCTATACCCATGGTGGGCACACCACAGACAGCCCATTGTGTAGCTTAACAACAAAGAAACAAATGTTCAATCAAATTTAAGAGGCTAACAAAGTAAAATGTGAATAGTTTTAAAAGTTTCGTTTTCCACTTTCCAATCATTTTAAATCCATTTTACATATATGTGTGTAAATAAAACAAATCTCTATCCTGCAAGAGGTACAGGTTGTTCCAGGTGTACAAGCTGTGTGCTACATTAAGCGTGGTACAGGACTGTACCAAGCATTAACTAACCCTTTAGTTAATATGTAACTATTCGAAATTCTCTGATGGATTGATAGAGAGATTTAACAGAACTTTATTAGACATGTCACAGTATTGTGAGTCATATCAAAACCAAGGGGATGAGCAGGTTTCCTTATTACTTCCAGCTTATAGGAGCATCATTAATTACGCAATGGATGAAGAGTATAAAGTATAAATGAGGCAGATGATGCAAGTAGTGTTTAAAGCAGCATATGAACAGGAAAACAAACAAGTAAACATTATTGAAATTAAGCTAGGAGATAAAGTACTGTTATATAATCCTATTGTTAAAAAAGGAAACACAAAGAAACTAGTTAAGTTATTGATAGGTCTATATACAACAGTAAAACAAATAAGTCGTGAATTTTTAGATATATATACTTTAAGATAACATACGTTTTACATGTCAATAAGTTTTAAAATGTTAAGGAGACTAAACATACAATTATGAAAGCTACACAAAAAACATTGAAGTAGGAATTAAGAATAAAGGGTGAAATAGTTACCTAACCAATAAATCTAATTTAGAGATGATGGAGCTATAGATACACCATCTGAGATACAACATTAGATACAAGATAGGCTAGTGATCAGATTGCAGGCACTGATCAGCAAGTACTATTGAAGGAGAAACTTTCATCATACTGCCAGCACAAATTATAGAAACCCAGTTTATCATTTAGGGTCTCGTGATTCCGTATTTTATCACAAATGGATACAGGATCCATCAACTAGGAGACACAGACAATTTAAATTTAATCATGAATTATAAAACACATTAAAGTGCAAAATGAAAGTCAAGTATCAAAGAGGGGTAATAAAATAACGGCTCGTGAAATGTTTAAGACATTTAACAAAATGTCAGGTTATTCAATAACAGAGTAATAATGAAGCATTTGCAGCATTTTGAGGCATTTTACGCTATTTTTAATTGCTTCAAGGAATAAGAATACAATTTTATAAAGAAGCTACATGTATGGCATACATACATACATGCAATAGGAAGAAAAGTAATGCACATTTAGTAAATGCATAAGAGAATGTATGTAATGACGCTTGACCAAGAAAGGAAATGTATATGTCTAGCATACTCTAAAAAATATTCCAGGCTGTAATATAAACCAGTAGGCGTAACTGTAGCAGAGAGAAAGCTATGTGAAAGTTTATGTTAACTTTGCGAAAGACAGAAAACAAATTCTATAAAAAGACTTAGAAAGAAAACCAGAGGCTCTTGGCTGAACTTTGATCGGAAAGAAGGTGAAGATAAATACATGCAAACAAGTCGCCAATTTACAACTTTTGTCCATAACCAATTAAAAGCTAGTTTTTGGTTTTGGTTTGATAAGATAGGGAATAGGAACGAATTAGAAGAAAAATCTACTTGAAGGACCAGCATGTTGAGCTAATTGAATGCTCGTAGAAAAACTAGAAAACGAGTAAAAAAGTCCTGTTTTTAGC